GTGTGTGTGTGTGTGTGTGTGTGTGCGCGCGTGTGTTTTCTTTTTTTATTTGCGATATTTGGAAACTGAACCTAGGACCTTCACACTTGGCTAAATCCCCAACTAACTTCCCTCCCTCGCTCCCTCTCTCCGTCTCTCAAAAGATAAATTGAATTATTCTAAGATATCAAAATAAGTTCGGAGTATAAAGGAGGAAAGTGGAGCCAATGTGAGGCGCAAGCCATCAAGCCATTAATATAAAAATCTAGCTGCCCCATGAGAGACTGCGGCTTGGTAAATTGCATAACCTTTAGTTTGGGCATGGTGATTTGATTCTTGCGGTGGAAATGGGCAGTAATCAAAGTTCACCTAAATTTTTATGTGGCTGGCTTTGTTTTTGTGTTCATTTTGGCTCAGTTCTTTTATAGAATTTAAGTAGAAGTTTCTATAGCGGCAGTGTAAAAGTACTTACATTTAAGCAATAATTTTATGCTTCTGTAGGGGTCAACCAGAGGATTATGAAACATCCCTCTTCATTTGTAGCTTCCTAATAAAGCCTTAAAATATCTTTAAGTGGTCAGTTTAAAAGCTTTTTTGGTTGTTGTTATTGTTTTTGTTTTTTGTTTTTGTCAGAACCAGTGATTGAATTCAGGCCCTTGCGCTTGCCAGGGAAGCGCTTATTCTACTGAGCCATCTCCCCAGCCCCAAAAACTTCTGTTTTAAAATGCAGATTTTCTCTTACTATTCTTCAAAACATTTAAATTCGATTTTTGTCTCTTTTCTTGATCTTCCGACTCTTACTAGTTTCTTGGTTTTTCTTTTAGTTCTTGACTTTATAATCATGTTCTTGACTTTATAATCTTGGTTTTTCTTTTAGTTGTGACTTTAACCTCAAAAATTATTATATTAAATAAACCAGAGCATCTTGAAGAGAACAGTGACATTCAACACTTTGGATATAACTCAGTGATCCAATACTTCTCAAATTCTTAAATTCTTATTTCATAGTTTTCCCTTTTTAAATTCTATTTCTGAGTCCTGTTTTTCAGTTTTTCTCTTTTATTTATTTGACTATAGTCAGTTAAAGAGAACACAAATCCTACATAGGATAAAATAAATAAAAAATGAGAGATTCTTTGTTAGGACCCATTTTTCCAGTCTGGTAGTACTCTGTTATTCATTTATAATTTTAGAAAGATTCTTTTTTTTTTTTTTTTTTGCAAGGAAGTACTTTGAATGGAATAATATATTGAATTAGGAGATAATCTAAATGTTATTTTAAAAAATTTAAAACTGTTGTCATGAAATAGTACTGAAAGGTTTTTATTATCAAGTATTTAAAATATTTTTGTGTTTTCTCTAGCTCATTAAATACAACTAAGGAATACAGGCAACATGTTCTACACTCATGTGCTTATGAGTAAGCGAGGGCCACTGGCCAAAATATGGCTTGCAGCTCACTGGGAGAAGAAACTCACAAAGGCCCATGTATTTGAATGTAATCTAGAGATAACCATAGAAAAAATTATTTCACCTAAGGTATGCTACTGATTAAAATGATAATTTGTATTGTTATAACTTCTGTAGGTTAAAGGAATTTATGTCATTAAATAAATTTCCAAGACAATTATACTTCTTAAATTATCTGTTTTAATCCTTTGTAACAATTATTGTCTGAATATAAATATATATTGGTTTCTGTTGGTCATTTGTTCATGTATGTATCATAAATGATTGGAGCCTGAGGAATAAATGCTGTTTTATATATATTTTGTAATCTTTTCTTGTTTTCTGTGTACATAGTAGGTGCCTAATTAATACTTCTAGAGAATGAATGAGGAGTGTAGATTGATTTGTGTTTTTTTTTTTTCCGGTGCTGGGTATTGAACTCAGGACCTTGCACTTGCCAGGCAAGCACTTATTCTACTGAGCTATCTCCCCTGCCCAAGGAGGGTAGAAAGGAAGGACTGATTATACACTTAAGAAATAGCACATTATGGGCTGGAGAGATAGCTCAGTGGTTTAAGCATCTGCCTGGCAAGCACAAGGTCCTGAGTTCAATTCTTGGTAAACAAAAAATCATAAAATACTGTGTTAATCAGAAAACTATAAAATAGCTATTAGCATTTGCACTGAAATATTATCGAATTTTTTTTTTTCAGAACCGGGGATAGGTTAAATATTTATCTGCTTGAGAAAAAGATGAGTTATAATTGAAAGATCACTGTGTGAGAGGAACTGGCCTATACTTATATTATTAATCCTTATTAATTTAGTTAATCCTTCTTAAAGATTCTTTGGCTTCTTTTAGCTCCAGTACAGTAGTAGTTAGCATGGCCTTTTAAACTGACCAAATTTACCTATAATCCTTGCTTCATCACTTACCTGTTTTACTTTGGGCTTGCTATTTAATAAATCTGAGTAGTCAGATTTATTTTCTTCTGTGAATACAGGCTGTTGTCAAAGTAAAATACATTAATGTGTGATAAGTTCTTAGGACAATGGCTAGTACAAAATAAATTGTAGCCATTTTTGTTAAACTGAAGCTCATGAAGGTTAAGTGACTCAGTCTCAGCATCCAGTCTAAGGCTTGAATCCCAGTATGCCTGATTGCAGAATTTATATTCTTAGGGCCGGCCAGATAGCTCAGTGAACTAAAGCACCTGCTTAGGTAGGCACAGGGACTGAAGTTCAATTCCCAACATGCTGTGCCAGCCCTGACCCAGGGGCATGCTGAGAGGGCCATTGAGACTAGGTGTGGTGGCTCATGCCTGTAATCCCAGTGCTTGGGAGGCTGAAAACAGAAGGATCTCTATGAGTCCCATCTTTGTAGTGAAACCCTGTAGACCCTGTATTAAAATACAAAATATATATATATTTTTTTTCCTGCAATATTCATAATAGCAGATGTCACTTAAATGCCACATTAGATCATTTTTATGAAATAAGCAAATAATCATTTTACAAAGAAAATTTAAGTGATTTAGAATATGAAATATCTGCTTTTTATTTTATTTTTTTATTTTTTATTTTTGGCAAAACTGGGGATTGAACTCAGGCCCTTGTGCTTGTCAGCCAAGCACTTATTCTACTGAGCCATCTCCCTACCCCCCTAAATATCTGCTTTTTAAAGAAAAGAAATTGTTATAATTTCAATATCTTTCAAAGAGCACAATTTATGAACCTGATTTTTATTCTAATTTAAAAATTATCAAAAGGTGAAAATTGCACTTCGAACTTCAGGACACCTTCTTTTGGGAGTTGTTCGAATCTATGATAGGAAGGCAAAATATCTTCTGGCAGACTGCAGTGAAGCATTTCTTAAAATGAAGATGACATTCCGCCCAGGTACACATGCAGTGTTAATTTATCTCACTCTTCTTGGTTCCCTTTTGCATATTTAGTTGGGTGGGATATTTTCAATTGGCAGTAAATTGTAATTCAGGTGATTATAGTGAATGTAAACTCCATTTTGACTGAATCTAAGTTTCCATGCTTTAGGACAAATTATATTATTATTCTTGCTCTTTTCCTGTGTTTGCAGGAAAAGGTTTTGCTTTCTAGAACTTGTAATGTTCCTATATGTATTATGTTACAAATATGCTTAAAGCCAAAACTTGTGTAAAAAACTTACTCCATTTTTAATGGATCATTCAGTTTGTCATATCTTTTTGTGTTTAAGAACAAAATTAGAAATAGTAAAATTGACAAAACAAATGTTGATAATTATTCTTATAATTCTCAAGACTACTAAATTCATGCTATTAATGAACTATAATCAATCTAGACATACCTAAATACTAAAAATTTATGTGTCATAAAATTAATGCTTTCAAAATATAATGTACATAGCATTTGTTCCACTTTTAAGACATTCATCATTTTCCATGTTGGATCATGGTTACTTAGGTATGTCTTTCTGCTGTCACTAATCTTCAGGCTCCCTGAAGGAAGCATCCTTTTTGTAATCTCTGATAGTGTCTGTCTTGGTACCTTGCACACACTGGTACTTTGCACTTGGTGCCTTGCACACTCAATCAACTTTTGTTGAAACAGGATTGGCAGGTTTTTATTTTCTTTATTTTAAAATATTTCTACAATCTCTAGTTAGATTTATACTCATATCAAGTAGAATTCATTTCTTCGCTTTTTATTTCATTTATATGTTCCACAAATATTTATTGATCTTGTACTTAGTGTCAAACATGATGATAGGTTCTGGATACAAGACAGAAAAGGTAAATAAGGTCTCTTTCAATCTGGTGAGTAAATCAGATAATGAAAAACATTTTTGAAGTTACAACAATAATTACAGTCTTGTTTGTGTTGTAAAGGAAAATAAACAGAGCACTGCAACAGACAACAAGAGAGTAGTTTACTTTAGTTAGGGAAGTAGGTAAAAGTCTTTCTTGAGGGGGCTGAACTTAGCTTGAAAAGTGAGAAATATCCAGCCATATAAGAAGTTCCACATGAACGGCATAACAGCCAGGTGAAACTGCAAGAGCAAAAGTCTGGTGATGGCAACACAGTTGACTGTTCAGGGAACAAAAGAGCTAGTATGTCTAGAGTAAAGTACAGTGAGTGAGAAAGAGAGTGTCCTCATATGATGATTGATTGGTTGGTCGGGAAAGAAAGGCCTCAATTAGACATTTGATTTTATTAAAATGTACTGGGGAAGTTGCTAAACCATTTTATGGGAGTTTGCTTTTGGAAAATATTAAAATATTTGGTAAATGTTTGCTTTATAGAGAATGAACTGCAGAAGGACAGGAGTAGATAAGGGAAACCAGTTAAAAAGACTGAAAAAGCAGTGCAGTGAGAGAATAAAGGTTTAGTTGGGAGTTTATTTTACACTCATCATTGTTTATTAAATGTGATTTTTATTTTTTAGGACTGGTTGACCTCCCAAAAGAGAGTTTTGAAGCAGCTTATAATGCTATTACATTACCAGAAGAATTTTATGATTTTGACACCCGTAATATAAAGTAAATTATTTTGGTTACTTTCTTTCAATTTGATTTTCTTGATATTCTATTGTTTTCCTATTTAGATTTCATGAAGGCAAATGGAATGTGGTTAACAACTAAGCAAGTATACATATAATTGACAGACTTGAGATTGAGATTCCAAAGTGCACCAACTAAGATGTATCATTATACTCATCAAATATAATTCACAATATTGTCAGCATATTCATCTGTCCATTCAATAAATATTCAATGTGTGCTTTTCCTATGCCAGTCACTGTTCATTGAGGAAATAGCAATGAGTAAACACAGCTCCTGACCTCATAGGTTATGTACTTTAGTAAGTAGATTGACATTAAACAAACATGTAAACATACAATATGTCAGGAAATGACTAGATGATCTAGTATAAAGAAAAATAGTAAATAGTGAATGGTCCAGAAATGATTTTCTGGTAACAGAAATTTGAAGGAGATAGAGGAACCAATCACTGGAAAGCTCTCCTATTTAGAGCAAGTGGGAAGGTCCTAAGACAGAACCCATTGGATGTTTCAAGGAATAACAAGGAGGCCTGGAATGGAGTGAGTGAGGGGCTTGAGTGGTATATAGATGAGGTCAGAGAAGTAGCAGGAAATACAGGTGATAGAGGACATTGTAGGGTACAGTAATACTTTAGTCAGAGAGGAAGCACAGGAGAGTTTGAAAGGAGAAATGCCCAGGTCTGGCTTGATTTCAACATGCTCTGTCTGACTTCTTCCTATAAAACAGAAAGAGAGGAAGCAGGGAGCATGTGAGATTATTAGAGTAAGAGATTATATCTGTGACCTGTTCTTCATCTTATCAAGATGATAACAATCAAATTACAGATATGTGTAGAAGTCAGAGCCAAAAGGATCTGCTGATGAATTGGATGTATGGCTCTAAGAAGTAAATGGTGCCATGTGATTTTTGACATGATTATGGAGTTACCCCTTAATAAAATTAGGATCACTAGGGGATGGCAAGTTTAAGAAGGGGGTGAGAAAAGGAAGCAAATTAGGTTTTGGAAATGATGGTTACACATCTGCAATTGTTTGAATTATGTGCTTTTATAAGCTCAGATATTGAAACCTAATTGTGAAGATGATCATATTAAGAAATAGGGCTTTTGGGTAATGATTAGGTGATGAGGGCAGAGAACTCTCATGGGTGGGATTAGTGCCTTTATAAAAGGGTTAAGCCTTTTAAAAGAGGCCTAAGAAACTTTCCACCAACTGAAGACAGAGCAAGTTTGGTATTGGTAAACTATGCTACTTCTCTGACCTCATCTATATACCACTCAAGCCCCTCAGTCACTCCATTCCCAGCCTCCTTGTTATTCCTTGAAACATCCACTGGGTTCTGTCTTAGGACCTTTCCACTTGCTCTAAATAGGAGAGCTTTCCAGTGATTGGTTCCTCTATCTCCTTCAAATTTCTGTTACCAGAAAATCAAGCTATCTGTAAGGAGCAGATCCTCACCAGACACTGAGTCTCCTGGAGCCTTAAATCTCGAGCACTGTATACAGTGAAATGCTGTTGTTTATAAATTGGCCCACTTAATTTATTTGTTATAGCTGCCCCAAACCTGGAATGTTCAAAGTCAGGATGCCAGCATATACAGTCTAGTGGGCCTCTGCTTCTTGGCTTACACGTGGCAGTTTTCTCCCTGTGTTCTCACATGGTGAAAGGAGCAATGCAGAGAGGCCTTATGACTTAGTCACCTCCCAAAGGCTTCTCATTTTAATACCACCATACTGGTGATTAAATTTCAATTTATGGGTATTAATTATTGAAAATGTCCTGTTAATCAGCTTTGAAACTGTCTCATTGATATTTGTTTCTAAATAAAATAAAAATAAATAAATTCACCTTATGAATGAGAGAGAACAAACATCTGTTTCAAACACTATTGGTTGGCATAAGTAAAATGAGAACTGAGAATGACAATTGGACCTGTCAATGTGAAGATTGTGTATATGTTACTACCTAATATTATGGAGCAAACAAAAGCTCCTTTGTTTGTATAATAAAACCTGCTTTTTATTTTAGGCTTTTTCAGTATACTGTAAAATCATTCTGACCTATTCGTATGCTTTCCTCAATCTTATATTTCTCTGTAGTGTGACTGATATTTCGGAGTACATAGCTCAGAATCAAAGCAGACCTGAAGAAATTACACTTAAAGAACAGTATGATAATGATCTACTTTTCCAAACAGTGAACTTTGGTGAGAATTTTTGAAAAATCAAAATTACAGGTCATAACCAATTATATTTACATTTTATATTGAAATGATACATGTATATATTGCATATGTTATTGTAATGTAGGAATAATGCCCCTAAGTATTCTCACCTTTTTCTAGTATAGATGTCAATTGTAAGATATTCTTAGGGCATACCTTCTTTCTTAGTGTATAATCACTTATGGAATACTCTATAGTACATCAGAGGCCCTCATAAGCACAGGCACTACCAACATTTCAAAGAAGCAGCTTCTGCCCTCAGGGAATTTTAGGCTGGGTGAAAGGCATGCAAATAAATTATTGGTATAGTTAACATTCATACAATGTTTTATATGTATGCTACATAAAATACCTTTAAATATCATAATTAATATATCTATCAGTTATAAAAATAGATTTTTAAATCTGCTTTGGAGTAAGGAGGGGGAAATACTACCACACTGAATGTACAGTTTAGGATTATAATGCAGAAATTGATGTGCTAAAATATTTGGGCAAAGTGATCGTACTTTAAAATTAAAGTGATAAGGTATTTGGTCTTTTTCTGACATGTGTCATTCTCTGTCTTGTGTCATGATATATATATGTCTTCTGTGCTGGTCTACAAACTCGGTGAGGATTGAACTGTACCATGATCATCTTTGAATTTCTTACAGAATTTCTTACAGTGTCCAAAACAGTGAGCAAGGGGAAGGATGGCCTAAACTTGTCTTGGCTCGGTGGGAAGAGTCAAGGAAGTAATGCTTTAGCTACATCTCTACCTCAGTCTTTCATCTTCCCTCTTTCTATAACCTTTGGTATCTATGATTATGTTTCTCAAAACATCTGTGTTGAAGGACTATTTTTATAATTTTCATCTGATTCCAATTTGTCTATATTATTTTATATAAATTTAATACATTCATAAAATTGAAAATGGATCAAAATATTATTTTAAAGAAAATTAAAATTTAAAAAAATCAAACAAAACATTAAGTTTTTATTCTGTCAAATTGCTATTAATCATTTTAGACACTTACTTCTAATTGCCATATTTATTATGTACCAGCACCAGTCTACAGACCATACTGGAGTACAATGGATCTCTTAACCAGACCTAGAAATATAACACCTTGGCAAAGATGTAATTGTATATTTTTCTGGCCATGACACTCTATATAAACTTTCCTGTAAATTCTGTTTTTCTTCATGCTTGGATCTTTAGGATAGCTTTCAACTATACTTTCTTAGCTTCATACTAACAATGATTTGTTTTAAAATCTGAAGTATCTTTTAGGTTTTCTTTCTATTTACACTAACATAGTTTACCAATACCAAAGGTCTGGAGTACTGTACTACCTTCCTCCAAATGTTACTCCATTCTCTTTCTACATTTTTATATCTCTGTAAGCAACTGTCTTTAAATTTCATATCACATTCCTCTGCTTAAGTATTTTAGTTTCCTATGACATTGTGTTGAACTCCTTTGCCTATATTCAAAGTCCTCTTCCAATTTATCACCATCTTGTTTTATCAACTGTGTTCTACTCCTTTTTTTTTTTTTTTTTCTTTCCAGTACTAAGGTTGAGCCCAGAACCTTTGTTCTGCATTCTGCATTCTGGTTCTTGAATTTGTGATCACCTGCCTCAGCCTCTCAAAATGCTAGGATTACAGATACACCCAGATTATTTTATTCTTAATATGAACATTTTGTTATATTCAAGCAAATGTTTTACAGTGTGGCTACTACAATTTAGTTGTTTACCTTTCTATATCTTACATAATTCAAAATGTGATACCAAATTCTTGTATATCAATAGACCTAGATTTGAAGGAGATCTTCATTGCTTGCTGTTTGGTACTTAGTAACTGTCTAAACTCTCTGAACCTTTTTTGCCTACCTGTAAAATTGAGGTAGCTTCTAGCAATATCAGCGGTTGTTTTCCTTTATTCTTGCTTTCAGTTCTTTCCATCAATATATGATTTTTCTCTCCTTTAAAAACAATTTCAAATTTACTGCTCTTTAATAAGTGCTTAATATTAACACATCTTATTCTGTATTTCAATATAAAATTGAAGGTAATGATTTTTTTCTGTAACCTCAGATTCCTATGGTGCTTAATGCTCAGAATATCGCATCTGTTCATATAAATTATTCATTGACCAAGGCTGATTTTTCTTTTGGGAGGTATCAAACTGCACATAATATGAACATATTCTTTTTTCTTGGTCATTTTGAGACAGGGTTTTTTCTATGCAGTTTAGGCTGGCCCTGAGCCCACTTTGTACCGCCGGGTGATCTTGAACTCATAACAAACCTTTTGCCTCAGCCTCTGGAGTCTTGGAATTACAGGTGTGCGCCACCACACCCAACTAATATTCTTATTTTTTTTTAAGTCACTTAATCTTTTCTACTGATCAAGTCTTTAATCTAGTGTGATTAAGATTGCTATTTTCAATGTTCCTTTTTCAAAGATGTAGGTCTATAGAGGAATGTTCAGTGTGAGTCAAAGAATATCGTGATCAAAAAATATCATGATTTTCTTTAACTCTAAGATGGGGTGTTGGAGGGAAGGGAACACCAACCTCTGATCTCTGCAAATAAAATACAAAATTAATTACAAAATATTTCTGTGATAAGTTTCCCCATTTGTACAATAAAGATTATAATAGATCTTCTATTATAAAAATATATATAATACATTAATGATACCTGACTCTGTTTATCCTTTTTATTTATTCTTATTGCCAACTTATAACATATTCAATAAATATTTATTAGATGACTATTGTAAGCCTGATCTTTAATATTTTACCTATCTTTCCATTTTCCTAAGAAAGCTCCTTATTTTTCCTGACCCTTATTATGGATAAACCATTCAAGCAATTGTGTTCAAAGTTATATGAAATAATAGTTGGCTATGCAATACTTGATATACTTCATGTAGAGAAAAGTTCATAGTATTTTTGCTTTCTAGGAAATCATTAAATTATATCACAATTAATAAGCTTTAATGTCTGTGCTTTTTTCCTACTGTATTGCAATGAGTATTATACCAGAATGCCAATCTCTGCAGATTAACTGACTTTAGTTGAATAATTTCAGTGATTTTTTTCAAATTTCATTTTTCTTATATATAAAATAAGGGCAATTATATTAGATAACATCTCAATTTCCTTCTAATCCTACAATTATTTGTTTTCTATGACTAACAGCATTAATGATATACATTTTTTAGAGGAAGAATGTGAAATTCCCAGAACACAGAGTTTCTTTGATGACAACATCTTACTGAACTCCAGTGATTATTTAATTGAACATAGTTCTAGAAGTCTGATTGAAGAAAAGTCTTTGTTCTATGACAGTAGAGATGGATTTGGAGATGAAGGATCTGCAGGAGAAATGATTGGTATGCTGTCTGATCATAACAAAATCAAATATTTACTTCAATAAAATTACTATAATACATAAATATATTATATAAAACTAGAATTTCAGATGTATGTAGGTCAAGTTGTTTTTTACATAATTTTTAGGTCTATAGCATATCTAAGGTAACCCTAATAGCCATGTGTTTAAATACATTTTCTATGGAAGTTGGGAACTACTGTCCATTTTTATTTTTACAAATTAATTTTTGGAAGGGAATTGTGAGATTAGTATATCTCTCACAAAATATATTACATTATATGCTGGAAAGTGTTTCCTTTGTGCGTGTGTGTGTATGTGTGTGTTTTCTTTAACACTAGTTGTAGGATGTCTAAGAAATCTAGCATTTTATCTTTGTATTATAGTTATAAAATATAGACAAAAATGGTAAAACTAAATGTACATATTTTAAAGGTGCTAACAGTAATATCAACTATATATTTTAAATTTTTTGTTTACGTAAATTCTAGTTCCATCACATTGCCTTTCATAAAGTAATGTTAATAAACATTGCATTAACAAATGACTGATTCAAGTTTATATGATACAGGGGGGCCAGGGATATAGCCCAACAGTGTAAGCACCTGCCTTGGAAGTGCAAGGTCTTGAGTTCAATCCCTGGTACCGCCAAAAAAAAAAAAAAAAGTTTATATGATATAAGCATGTGTTGTGTTTTTCAAGACAATTTATTGCAAGATGATGAGAATATCCTGTTAGAAGACATGTATTTAAGTAGAGAAGTTTCCCTGCCTTCTGAGCCTCTCAGCACAATTGTGGGTATGTTAAAATGTTCCTTTGTATAGAAAATAAACAGATATTTGTTTGAATTATCCTTAGAACTTTTATGTTTAAGTAGCAGTGCAATATAGTAAAAGATAAAGAATATTGTCCCTCAACTCTTTTAGTCTGATTCTATGCAACATGAGATAAAAAGTTGATTTCTTTTGCAGTATAAGTGTTAATCCCAGGGTCTTTATACTGAGCTACATCCTCAGCTGACTGACTGATCAATTGATTGAATGAGTGAATGACAGACAGACAGACTGACTGACTGACTGAGAGAGACAGAGCCTCGCTAAGTTGCTGAATAGCCCAGGCTCAAACACATAATCCTCCTATCGCAACCTCCCACAATGCTAAGATTTAGCTTCTGAGAAAGGTACAATGAAGGATGTTTTAACTTGGGCTGGATTTAGCAAGAAAGTGTGCTTGAATACTTTGCCCAAATACTGGGCTGGTGAATCCTAAAAATAACATATGCTGAATGGTAAATAAATAAATAAATAAATAGTATTGCCTGACAATCTGTATACAATTTGAGGGAAATTTCAAAGATAGGATATTTTTCCTACTTGAAATCCTTACAAAACTACTTCAGGTGGGCCGGGGAGATGGCTCAGTGGAATAAGCACTTCCCTGGCAAGTGCAAGGACCTGAGTTCAATCCCTGGTTCTGAAAAAAAAAAAAAAACCTACTTCAGGTGATTTGAGGTCTTTTAGGATGAGTTTTTCAAAAATTAAAAAAGTGCATATCTCTATTTTTATTCTTCACAGTTTTTGATGTTATATTTGATTTCTAATGCAATAATGGAAAATAAAAATGTGAGAAGAGCTAGGCAGTACAATTTTATAGTTTGTTACAAATCAATTGATATGACTCAACAGAATATAAATATCAATATATCAAATTTATATCAGTCATTTATTGTAGTTGCTTCCACTGTTTTCAGTTCCACTGTGACTATACCCCAGCCTCAGATTTCTCATGTGCAAAAGGGGTGATGATATTGACTCACCCAAATGTTGTGGGTCCTCTACTGTATAGTCTCTGAGTCTCTTCACTGCTGTGCTATTAAATACACTATCTATATAGCTCCAGTTAGCAATATAATCTTCAGGTAGCATTTTCCCTAATTCTCATATAGTCTTCCAGCTTAGAAATAACCATAAGTTTTTATAATTACTTTAATGGCACCATTAATTTCTAGAGCCAGATAACCCAGATGATGTATTTCTACCTGAAAATGAAAACCTGGATGAAACAACATTATCCAATGATGAGGAAGGATTTGCTCTTGAGCCAGTTGATATTGCAGGTCAGAGGCAATTGTATTATTTTTATTTTTGATGCACTGCTCTATAATTTACTTTGAATAATCAAAACTTATTGGAGTAATCTAGTAATAAAACTTTTAATACAATAGGGGAAGAGTATAAAGAAAATTTGAGACAGTTGTTTCATTGTATTCAATTCTGTTCAAGTCATGTAGCCAAGTTTGGAAGCTGGAAAACTTAAAAGACAATTCAGTTCAACAAATTATTCAGTATTTAAATGGCAGTGGAATACCCATCTCTGATAAAACTAAACAAAAAAGGAGATATAAATGAAGGACCATTTGTATCTATATATACAAAGTAGTTAGGATAGATATACAGCTATTTTCTCTTAATTCAGTAAGAAGAAAGATTTGTACTTATAGTATTTGGACAGGATATCATGTCTGCATCTTGTACTATGAATAACCACTACGAAGACAATGCCATTAATGCAATGTGTTAATTATTGAAACTGTCCTACTATTTGATTTTGAAACTGTCTCATTGATATTTGTTTCTCAATAAAATTAATTTAAAAACCCAAAAAAAAAAAAACAAAAAAAGAAATTTTGCAGTCATCACACTGTGTACACAGAAATGAAGAAAACATGATTCTTTTAAGAAGTTTTATAATTTGGACTTCCACTCTAAACACCGGGGAATGCTATAGCTTCAAGGGATCCTCATGAACCCTCACTGTAGGAAAGGGATCCCCCAACTCTGTGCAGGCAGAAGATAACAGAACCCAAAGATGCCTATAAGTGAGTGCTCCCATCTGCTGACTCCCAGAGACCCTGTCTGCTGGAAAACATAGCCCATGAGTCATGTGAACCCCAGTGGTTGCACAAATGTGGCCATGGATTTCACCAACTGGGGAGGTGGGCAGTTCCTAAGTCAAGCCCAAGGATAGCATCATATTTTGCCTGCTGACTAGAGGGGAGAATTGTTTAGACTGTTAGCTCAGGTTTTGAATACAAAGGAAAAGTTAGGAAATTGTTGTGACTGTCTATAAGCAGACCACCACTAAGGCAAGAAGGACATTGTGTGAACACTCAGGTGGTTTGGCATGTGGTCACATGGGTATCACATGCACATTCTCTTGTTGAAATATTTGATCTGGGATCTGGGTGGTTTGTATTTATTTATTTGCTTTTATTTAGTTGACGCTTATTTTCCATCCATCTTCTTTTCTCACTATTTCATTTCTTCAATTCAAGCTTCTATATCAATATTTTCTTCATTTCTCTCAGTTTTAAAATTCTTTTCATTTTTTGTTTGCTATCTTCTGCTCTCTCTGTCACTTCAATCTTCTCTTGTAATAACCTGTCTTTCTTATTATATTCCTTTTGTTCAGCCTTCTCTTACCTAGCTGTCTTCCCTTGACTCTTGTCTACTTCACAGGTGCATAAATATAGCTCATAGCTTCCCTCAATTTCAAAATACACCTCTCTCCTCCTACATCCCATTTTTGCCCCACAAATATCTTCATAAATCCTCAAAACTGATTCTTAAATCCAACTAAAAGACTCTCAACAGAATCTCTTGCAACAAGCAAGATGAATAGATAAATAAAACAAAACAAAAGCAAAGGAGCTGTCAACAAAAAAATGTAATATCAGTAATAAAGCAATAGCTTTCGTGATAGCTTTCAATATGAAGAGCCTCAAGTCCCCAATTAAAAGACACAGAATGAAAGACTTGATCAAAAAACTAGAGTCCAGCAGTCTGTTGCACTCAGGGAACTCATCTAACACAAAAAGACTAAAAATAGACTAAAAATCAAAGGACGAAAAACAATATTTAATGCATCAGGGCACCTAAAACAAGTACAGGCAGCAGTTTTACTCTCAGATAAAGTAGGTCTCAAATTAAAACTGATCAGAAGAGATAAAGAATGTCATTATACATTAGGTAATGAAAAAA